ATACAGAATTTATTATTTTTTATATAAAGGAAAAAAAAATACTAATCTAGAAGACAAGACAAAAAGAATGAAAATGAAAAAAAAAAAAAAGAAAAAGTGAATTGATCAAAGAGAAGCGCGTTAAAGTGGAAGACTTTGAGGTAGGTCAGATGGTGCCAATTTGGACCCTTATTTAAGTATTGATATCAGTGTCGCATTTAAACCTTTCAATTTTTATTTGAACTCTACTACATGTACACCATGCTGATAAATAAATCTATATATATATAATGGATTATATAGGCCCATGTGGAAGAAATTCGACTGTAAATGTGAAATGTGGAAAAGTAAAAAATTGTAGCATGTCAATTAGATAATGTATTATGTAAATGATTATGTACTTTTAGCATGATCTTCATACTGATATAGCATGGTGTACACTTCTCTCACATAAAGAGGGCCCAAAAATTTTTTATTCATGGTGGGGGCCCCTCACATGTGAGGAGGCTGTATGCATGGCATGGTGTACAACCATCATTTTCTTTTATTTTTTTATTTTTTTTATATTTCTTCAATTTCTTTCTAATTAAAAAAATTGTGCATTTGATAATTTTCGTTAGAAAATACCATCCACGATCATTGACGAAATTTTTATGTGTGATCATTTACTTTATTTAATTATTACTTCTTTAAAAGACGTCAAATTACTTTGAGGCGTTTATGATGGTTAATGATTACAATCATTTATTACATCTCCATATTCGTTGAACCATTTTTGGGTTACAAAAAAATTCAATTGGTCATCCAGTTCAATTTTTCCTCAGTCGAGTTATAAGAATGTCTTATGTCAGATACGAGCAAATAATAGGACACCAAACAACAATTATTGAAAATTGATTTCTAACTCTCCTCTTTCAAAAATTCTGCCAAAACAATTTCTTTCAAGAAATCCATCTAAAGGACACGATTTGAGATTATTTGCACCATGATTTAAAGTTATGGACTGAAAATGAAACATTGGTAAAGGCAATTTCCCTTAATGCAATGAACAATTTTATTTCCATAATTTTGTGGATTTCAAATTGACTCGCTAAGTATTATTAATAATTCAGCAATCTTGATTAGCTATACATGATTATTAAAGCTATGTACGATATTGAAATTGTAGAGATTTGAAGTAGATTTTTGAAATAAATTTTCTAGAAGATTCTTAACATTATTGTTCATTATAATGATTGTGGTAACAACCGTTTGACAAATTTATAAAGATGGATAGCAGTAAATCCTGCGAAATGTCTGAATAATAACGAACAATTCTGTGATGAAACTCGCGCATATTATTTCACACGTCGATGAAGACTTTGAAAGTAAAAACATCATATTTGATTTAAATCATACGTGGAATGTTATAAATATCACGCCACTAAAGAAAAATTAAATTATTATTAAATATGCCGAAGTGTCTAGAACAAAAGAATAACTTGAATGGATCATAAATCAAAGTTCAACTTGGAAATACTGAAATTTGGTGGAATCAATTTCTTGAACAACATGTTTCCCAATCCAACTTGAAATACTGATCATTGGTGTGTGGCATCAATTTCTCATTATATTTCATCAAAAATTCCTCTGCAGCTGCATAATTCTTGAATGAAACGACACCGTATGCTTTAGAATGTCCAGTTTCCTCGTTCAGAATAACCTTCACACTCAAAATCTATAAACAAAAGGAAATAAATTAACAGTTAATTAGTTTCACAATTAAATAAATAGGAAACTGCTAAGTACCTCTTCACGGGCTCTGTAGAAACACTTGTGAAAGAGATAGTTCTCATCCATTCCAGGCTGCAAATTATCAACCCTAATTCGGCAACATCCATCTTCCATGCTTTCTGCTGTTTATTTATGTAATGAAGAATTAAATTACTTTTATTAATAATTATTGAAAAATTCATCTTGATTAAAATATTTTTTTTAACAGTAATAACCTGAAGATTTTGCAGCAGCAGCAGCATATGGAGCAAGCCTGAAGATCTGCACTTGATATCCAGTGTTGAGCTTTTCCCAGATTTTTGCTTGATAGTGATTAATTTCACCAGATGAATCCTCTGCTGCTAATGTAATATAATAAACTACACCAGCAGTTGGCCCAATATTAAGATTCACAATTTTCAAAAACTTCAAAGTTCTTTCAAATTCTTTCTTATTGTGTTGTTCTACTGCATAAACTGCTGCAATCTCAGCCCTCTGATAAAGATGATCTTGATTTTTGCTGATTCTTCTTATTCCGCCCAACAATTTACGACCATCATCACTTGTCGTCACGTAGAATCCCTATGGTTACATAGGAATTAACAAACAGAATATTTAGGGTTCGATCAAAAGTAAGTTATTCAAACATGTTCGACGACGAAAACTTACCTGACTATTGTTCAGATCATCCATGTATTCGGAGTAAGTTTCTTGATCAAATATCAAGTCTTCCATTGTCACAGGGAAACAATAAAACTGCAGTAACAGAAGAAGAAATATTGGCTTGCTTTTATAGGAGAATTCAGAAATAGGTTGTGACCCTAATGTAGGGTATCCATCCTATTTAATGTAGGAAAAACCTAGAAACTAAGACGGTGTTTACAAACCGAATATGGAAAAAATCCAAACAATTTATTTATTAAGGAAATTTACAAATATTACTTTACATCTGTATTCTTCAAGTTTAGGAAATAAAACATATGGGTTTTTTGTTAATATAATATTAAAATTTAGGAAAAGAAGATAGTAAGCAAAACAATTTTTTTTATTTTTTTATAAATACACCCCTAGTTTAATTACATAAGGTCATTCCCTTTATTTATTACCACAGTTATATCATGAACTTTTTTTTGTCATCGCGTTATTATTTTTTGACCATTTATAAAAAAAAAATGAACAAGTATAATATTTTTTAAGTTAAAAACTAAATCAATTAAATACATTTAATTAATAATTTCCATGCATATTCCATGATCGCAATTGCACGCAAATGTTTGTAAATGGATAAGAATTTCGTTCTAATTGAAAGTCGAGAGTCTAATGCTAACAAGACTCTATCGCTTCAATTCAAATCAATATTTATCCGTTGATCAATTTAAAGAAGATCAAGCGCACGCGCGCACGTGTGTGTGTGTGTCTACGAGATGGTTAATAACCACCATTCTTGGTTTAGATGAAATTCGCACTTATAATTCTCTTCGATATACTTAATTGACGTTATACATAATACTGAATAATACGATAATCATTATACACAAAAAAATGGCCAATGTCCAATTCATTACATATTAATGTTAAAAAGATTTGTACTATGTGTTTGTAATTGCATTAAGGAAAGACACCTTTAGGAATAATGACATCTCCAATGTTGTTGTGCCATGGATCAGCCAAATGTGTTGCCAAATTTTCCAATGCCCTGTACCAGGGTATGCTGGTTGTTGAACGCAAAATCCCACAAAAGACAACAAGGCAAGACAACCTATACACACAATATAATGTAAGTATTCTGGTTGTCGATGATTCAATTGATATTTTATTTTTCTTTCTCGACTCTGTCAATGACTATAGTTCATATCACAAAGAAAAAGGTGGATGGTGTTACCATTTTTAATTTCCTCGACTTTGAGTTCTTAGAATTTCTGTGGGTCCTTGGAGTAGCCTAATGGGTCAAAAGCTCCACCCGGGTACTTCTTCTTTTCCGGGTCTTTCTCCATACTCCTTTGGTGCTCTACAAAGGCAATGGCCAAGAATTCTATGACCAAAATTGTCGGAAGAGTGCCCCATGGAACCAGGTTACCCAAATATGTAGCCTGCCCGCCCGGAACTGCTGCTCACTCTTGTGCCTTAACCCAGTTGCACAATCCCAAGGCCTCTGGAATCAGGATTCCATGCTGCAAAAAATTGTGCAAAATCATTTTCTGAGAAAAAATATTAAAAGTTAATGTATGTCGGGATTATATTCTATAGTCATGTTCAATTGTACGTCGATCTTTTCTCACGATATCGTATTTTTTTATAGCCGTGTTTTATTGAACTTAAAAAGTTCGCTTATAATTATGTTTAAATAAGTAAAAAATAAATAAATAATCATCCGCTAAAGTTGAAAATACGTGTATTACTAAGTAACTTGTTTATTATTTAAAAGTTAAAAATAAAAATAAAAATGTAACATATCTAAACATGTTAATTGCCACATCAAGCATGGCCCATCGACAGTGAATGAGTTCGGACTCCTTGTATCACTCTAGGTTTTCTAGGACTTCACCTAGACGAAATGGATCAAATCCGAAGTCTCTGCATATAACATAATAAAAATTGTAAGTTTATTAGTCATTTTTTAGCTTATTTATCTCTTTTTCAATATTGTTAAGAGTATTGTGAAGATGACATTACAAATAAACTGATAGTCTTGGACCAATTTTGCTATATACTAGATGAAAATCGACTTGTGACAAAATGCATGTTCCAATATCGTACTAGATAAAAATCGACTTGTGAAAAATATATTTGTAATCTTGTCCAATCATTTATAATCCAAAGTACCAAGACTTAATATAGCATAATGATGGTAGATAATTACCCAGGTGCTGAACCATCGAGGTAGGGTGGTCGGGGTTGACCGGGTATTCAGTAAGCCGTCATGGTGAATATGACAGTGGCATTGGTGGCTCGGCCAGCCACAGGCATACTGAGATGAGGAATTTAGACTTGGAAGATGAGAGGATGGATGGGCAAACTGCGGCTACAACGCCGCTGCTCACGAGTGCATTGGCTGCCATTCCCCGACTTTTTCAGAAGTTTGAATCTAAATGAGAAAGAATGGCCAAGAATGAAATGTGTAATGAGGGACTTGTAGAAGTTATAATTGTGTATGCAAACCAGTATATACGAGAATCTGAATGTTGATTTTACAACCATGCTATTTGTACAGAAAATGGCTGACAGAAATGGATAACCGAACACTCACAATGGGGGGCCATTTTTTTTGGAATTTTTAATTACGTAGAGCTCGAACGCATGTGAGAGGTTGTGAAACACCCATGTCTTCCATTTCTATACAAATGGAATTGTTCCTGATTTTATTGGCCAAGGGTATTTGATTCGGTTATGGTATTGAACCACGTGTCATTTCTTAATCCACGGGATGCTGATGTGGATGATTAAGTGGATAAGAGGTTTTGCGGTGGAGATTGATTTTAGGAAGGAAAAAAAAAATCAAGATGGAATCTGAAAGTGCTTATGTGGAAAATCAATTGATGTGTATGCTAAAATATAGAAAAATAATGTAAAATTAAAATCCACAAAAAGCTGCCAAGTGACCAACAAATTAGTTTTTCGATAAACAAGCTACGTAATTTTATTTATTTATTTTGTCACGGTAAAATGTTGGAAAAATTGTTTCACTGGTCTCTAACTTATGGTTCAATAGTGAGTTAGTCCTTTATTTTTAAAACGAGTAGATTCGTCGTCAATGATTAATTATAAATATTCCATAAAATTTTATAAATTTCCATTAAATTATAATATCTATAATCAGTCATTCACAACTATTAATTAAAAATTAAGTGACAAGTTGAAGATTATAATGGAGCCCAAGATCCAAGAAGACTTAAGGATTGGGACCGTTATATTACTTAATTATGTCATTTTAATTAACTAAAGATATTATATGGTTTGCTAGGAGACCATGGACTAAGAGTGCAATTTAAATTATGCCTCTATTTGATTTAACTAAAAATTTAATAAAAATTAGAGTATACAATTAATTTTAACTGCACATATAAACAATTTTTATCAAAATTTAGATCTCACATTTCATCAACGGTTATCAAAATCTACTGAAAATTTGATTTACTATGAAATCGATTATGGACTATATTTGGGACGTGAATGAGGTTCGAATTTGGTTTCTCGGTTTTGATAATAAAATTAACATAATCGTAAGGCTTTCTCTAATTTGGGTATTAGCAATAATCGAATATACGTGGATCAAGTGTCAAGAAATAAAACCGCCAAAGAAAATCATTGATAACTTGACAAATCTTTATTCAATTCTTGATTTGATTTATGATAAACAGACCATAGAACACACAATTGAACATTTTTTCCTAAAAAGAAAAAGGATGTAATAGACTGAAAAAAAAAATGTTAATTGGATTATTATCCAGAAGGAGGCATCATGACATTACTTAAGAAATGTCTAAACAAAGTCAAGGCAAGCTTAGGGCTGGTCAATGGAACTTCATGCCCTGCTCCTCTCACTGTTACATATGTCAGCCCTTCGTAAACTTGGCTCCAACCACCAACCTATTAATCAATTAAAACACAATAAAAAAAAAAATTAGGGTTACGTTAACGTCGAGTTGTCGACGCCGTGTTTTGTCCTTTTATAAGGATAGCATGACAATCGAATGGATATCTGGACGATTCATGTCCTTCGAGACAAATCGTGCAAGTAAAACTACAATGAGAGGTTGAGGAACAACTTGTCGCTTTTGAAAGGTTGAATACTAATTTGCTACTGTGAACAGTTTTGAATACATTTTTCAATTGTCTATTAGGTTGGGGACTGCTAATGCAATTTTTTTTACTTAATTTGTAGAAATTAAGTGAATAATTAATTACTTACCTTTTGGTTGTCATACCAAGCATACCAGCTGGTACTGGTCTTCAAGTTTAGAGCATCGATGGAGTAACGTGTTGCAGTGAGTGGCAAAACAGCATCAGTGTCACCACTGTACATTTTAAGAAATCAACTGATTAATGCTCGTCTCGTCTCGTCTTGTCTCGTAACGTAATGAGGATGGTATAATACTGAACAATAATACACGTAAAAATTATGGTAAAATTACCTAAACACCCATATTCTGATACCAGCAGCTATAAGTTCTTTGAAAATGGGAAGCATAGATCTAGGTGAATCAGTCCAGCTGCCTCTTATGACATCACTGCAAATGGAGTCAACAATCTGAGTGACGGAAAATTGTCCAAATCTTTGTTAAATTGTCAATCGACCCTAATGAGAACACGCGATCTTACTTGAAATTCATAGGCACCAACTCAAGTTGTAAAGCAAAAAAATTAGAAAGTCGTGTGGATCGTTCTCGTATTTGGAAGTCGATCGTAAAAATATATAGTCGAAAAGAATAAAATAGAGTTAAAAATTATGTGAAACCTGCAAGTAGTCCATGGACGTGAAATTCCAGTAATATTTGCATGTAAAGCCTTTTGCACCTCTGAACGATTCATATAAATTTTTGTGTACTTGACAATGCACTGATCATTCCCTCTGAATGTCCAAGGCTACACATAATCCAACATGTTCAGCTAAGCTTAAAAGTCAACTTATAAGTAAATTTACTTATAAGTGAAAAATAAGTTTTAAAATATAAATTAAGCTTACCAGTGGGATTTTCAAGTTGGTGGTCCCAAGATCAGTGCATGGAGTTTGATAAATTGCATAGGGATTGATGTCTCCAAACTCAGAATATGCTAAAGCAAGCGCTTCATAGCAGTCATTTGATGGGAATAGGAAAGAATCATATGGGCAAGATTTATTCAATGCTGAATATGTTGAATCCCCAATTAAACCATGGTTCCACCAAAATTGAAATGTTCCAATATTGTCCAAAACATCATCAATCAGTGGATTCCCTAGCTGCCCATCGTCAAAATTTAGACACAAATGATTAGTAGTGAATCATACAAAAACGACTAAATTACGATCTCGATCAAAAGTGTAAAATTGTATCGAATCAGTTGAAATAATTGTCTAAGCATACGGTCCTTGAAAAAGAAAAAAAAAAGGAGGTTGGACAAGGCCAACGTTGAGCCTATCTATTCCCTCACCTTCGGTCCCTTCCCTACCCTATTACGAGTCCACAATTTCGGGGGTGGGGTTGATTCATTGAAGAGGGGTGTGATGGGTTGACATTTAGGGATGATAGAAGGAGCAACGACTTTTAGGGGAAAGAAGTTGAGTTTTACTTTTACAATTTTATTTGAATTGAAAACGACAGTATATAGTTTTTTAAATGAGAATTTTTTTTTATCACATTTTGTCACAAGATATTTTTCGACTTTATTTTCCATGAAATATGTACATAAATGTGACCTAAGTGCTAGTTTATTTATATGAACATAATTTGATAAATCTTACCAGGAAACCTTTAAAGTTGATGATGGGATTGTTAACACCCTTGTTACGTTGAACTATGATTTTAGATAGCTCGGGAATATAATGCCCTGAAAATCAAAGCCAATCCAATAGTGCATGTTTGGTACACAATATTAAATTAGTTTCGACAATATATTTTTCTACTAATATTTAATCCGCAGTACCAAACATGTCCCGAAGGACACTTGGAAAAATAAAGAGAAAATATGAAAAACAAAATAGAACATTAAATTTAACCTGCATAGCTTTCACCAGCAATGTAAAATGGCCTCTGCTTATATTGAGGGAACCTTTCAAACCATTTTATAAGGAATTTGTAGGCATCTTTAGCTGCATCATACAGTGCAAAAAAGTCAAATATTAATAAACTGGCAAGTTCATTTCTTGCCAAGCTTAAAATTTACTTTTAAGTAGGTTTACTTATAAGTAAATGACCCGGTAAGTCTTAAAATAAATAATTTTTGTTGGTTAAAGTTGAAAGTAATAAATAGGAAGAAATTAAGGACCTGTTCTCTGATCACCAGTGAGCATATCAGATGAAGTATTTGAATAGGAGAAACCAACCCCAGCAGGTGAATCAAGAAAAAGCAAGTTGGCCTCTGAATCAAGGAAGAAAACAAGTTACAAACTTACAAAATACTCTAGCTGCAGAAGAACTGGATTAATCGTGATTGAATTTCTCGCTCATATGGCCATACCTCATATATGTTTAGTACACAGAATCGAACACGTAGTAAATAATAGGATAAATACCATGAATTTCACTCGTCGTATTTTCTTAATCGTGTCTAGTCATATTCATTAGCACATGCAAATCTTGCTACATGTACCTTTGTTCCAAGCATAAGGACTCAAGGTCAATGTCTGTCCATCTGGCTGCACGCGAAAAGGCCCGACTTCCTCCGATGCCCCATAGGCTATAGACGAGCAACCCGGTCCTCCATTTAGCCACAAAACAAGAGGCTTTGATTCGGGCTTCTCACTCGCAGGGGACTCAACCAACCAATAAAATAGCGCACGCCCCGCCTTCTGATCCACGGTGACATAGCCCGAAAACTGAGAGAACATGACGTTTCCAGGTTGCCCGGGCAGCTTGATAATCCTCTCTCTCTCTTGCTGTTTAGGGATAGCTGAAGTAGCAGCCGCGCTGGAAGGTAGCCATAAGCATACGATAATAAACCCGAGAACAAGAATATGCGAGAGAGTGCAAAACGAGCAATTCGAAAGCTCTCTCATTGTCAATGTGGTTGATTGAACTAAGCTAGAGCTAGGTTTTGTTACATGGTTTTAAGCAAATTTAAAGAAGATGATGATTAATTGTGTATTGCAGAGTGCAACCAAAGGGAGTTTCCGATGAACAAGGTTGTGATCATGCATTCACACGCATGTGAGTTGGTGATCAACATGTCATTCTTTTTAATTAATTTAATAAGGATCCCAAAATAAGTTGTATTAAAATGATCTCAAATTAATTTTAATTACTTCATGTAAGTGCTCCATACTTGAAATTTCTTACATTCTAAAGTATTTTCTTAGTAAAATTTGACAATATTTCTACTAGAACGTTTGATTGTCAATATTTTTCATGAAAATGTGTTTTTTCCACATAATTTCTTATTTTTGTACTGTGTGATTGACAATTTTTTTCGTAAAAAATATTTTTCTACTTTTGGTCACGTAGCCATATTTTCCTTGAAAATAAGAAAAATATCTTCCTTAGGGTTAGGTAGTTTTTATTTTTCAGGTAATTCGCTTTCTTTTTCCCTCTCTCATCTATTTACTCTCTCATCTACCAATCGATAAAAAATGGACATATATAATATTTTTTAGGTTGAAAACTTCAATCAAACACATTTAATTTATAATTTTCATATAACTTTTCATGCAAATTCCATGCGCGTAACACCGTTACAACAAAACATTTTTTTTATTTTCTTTTGAGGATGTAACAAAAAGGTTTTTTTTTTTAAGAGGAAAACTGTAAATCTAGTATCCTAATTTTATTTTTTGTACAAATAGTAGAATATTGTGCTTATAATAAAACTTAGATTATTATTTTCCTATAAAACATGAGAGTTTGAGGAAGCAATAAATTCTTTTTGATTGTAACAGTGTATCAGTTCCTAACCATCGCAATTGTCTATTTTATTCAGTTTAGAAATGATTACTAACAAATATAACATGAGTTCGTATATAAAACATTTTAGCAACAACAAAAAACTATATAAGCTTCAATTATGGCGAATACAGGAATTCGAGTGAGTTAGGATGGATTCAAGCGAGCTTGCTACGGCCGCTCCATCGATCGTATAGCAGAGTTAGGACAGATGGCCGCCATGGCTCACCGAGTGACGGCTCCGTCCCGAATTTTAATTTTAGAGATAATAATTAATTTTAATCATGTATTTCATGAAATTTACAATTTTTATTTATAAATTTCAATGATTTCATCAGCTTTTTATCAAAATTTATTGGTAAAATCAATCTGGAGTTAAAAGTCCCCCCAATTCCTTTATTTCTATAATATAGTCAAACTGTTGACTTGATCGAATCTAGAATCATATAGAATATTATTTTACATATGAAAGATAATCGCGAGCTGTATTTTCAAGATCGGCATTATTAATTTTTTGCCAAACCATTAAAAAAGATCTGAAATTGTCTATAATTTATTGCACAATTTTGACTTGTTCATGGCATTAATTAGGAGAAATATAAGTGATTTATTTGTGGATAAGTGATTTTTTGCTTGGGTATGAAGATAACGTCAAACACCATAATATTCGCCTTATTAAACGCCCTACGTTTTGTTGCACCAATCCATGAATATTTCATATTATTTCACAATATTTTTTTTTCCTATATTGCTAATTAATATAATTCAGTGTGATATTTCAAGTTAATACAATGAATATTGTATTAATTAAGTATATCGTGTTTAGATTTATATTGTATTCTGTTGATACCAACCTCAGAGGTCGTTAAGCTCGGACTGTTATATTCCAATGAAGGTAAAACAAAGCGAGCTCGGTGGTACGAGATCGGCTTAGTTCTGAATAACTTACTCAACAAACTATTGTAGTCTTTCAAGACACAACAGTAACTAATGATTATAGATCGCTGACAAGATCTTTGAGTTACCAATCAGGAAAACACACATGTAAAGGCCCTATGTCAGCGCCTACCTAGCTCCCCAATCAGACGTCTTAGCTTATCTAGCTAAGACTATGCATTTATTACTGGGACCCGCTTGTCCCATCATCTCACAATCAACAGGACAAAATTGAGCTCGGACGCCAATCCTGTTGCGCCAACACACGACCTAGCTCGGCTCGATTTTCTGTGTTGACAAGACATGAGTACTAGGCGCCAGTATATTTCTCCTATAAAAGGGTCTAGGATGCAAATAAGAAGGGGATGACGACAAATCTTAGGAAAAATACCTAGAAAACTCATTATAATACTTTGAATATCCCTTACAACTTGTAAAGTAATATTATTACTTTATGATTGGAATCTCTTCCATTTGTTTTCCTTGGATGATCATTTGTATCTTAAGTTGGCTCTAATTTTGTCCACTCAATTTTGGACGTCAACATATTCTAACAAATAACGTTATTCTTGAGTTCTCGGTCATTACCGTTTAGCCTATAGTATGTTGCTAGTAGTGATTGTCACCATTATGTGGTTGTCAACGACCAATTGCTNTATTTATTTATTTATTTATATAAATAAATATTTATATATTTGTGTATGTATAGGTCAAAATTTCTAATTTTTGAAATGTGAAAGTTATTTTGTTATTTTTGAAATAGGGTAAAGTTAAAGTAGGAAAACTGAATTTTCCCCTTTTTTTTATCCCTATATATTCAAAACACACATGTAGTAACGACATGCTACACACGACATCAGATAAAATTTTGACTTTTTTTTAATACTGCCCAATATAACTTACCAAACGTGTCAATAATTTTTAATTTTTTTTTTCAAAAATAAGTTCTATTAAAACAAGTTAAGTGTATGCCAACTAACAAAACTACATTAGCTTCCCTATATCGAGTGTATTGCAAACGATGGAACTTTTTTACAAGAACTTGCATATAGTAAGTTATATACAATGCATTTTCGAATTCGAATTACAGAACATACGATGAATGCCTAAATCATTAATTACGTGACACGCAGTGGCGGACCCAACACCTGGCGAGCCCCCGCGGTCGCCCGTGCTGGATCCACTGGATGCTTCAGTTGTCGTCGGAGCCAGAACCTAGAAGCTTGAATAGTTGAATTGCAGAGAGGCGCCGTCTGAATTGTGGAAGAAGATGAACAGGTTTTGAATTTGGGCTTTTTATTTTAAAGTTGGACCTTTTCATTGGGCTTTTTTTATAAAAAAAAAAAATTAGGCCCAAATCCTAATTTCAAAATCAATTACCAGGTCCAAGCTCATTAAACCATTTACCAATATCCCACACCAAATACGTTCCAAACACAGCTCAATCAGGCAAACCCTCGTGTTGGCTACTGCCCTGCGGCTCTGAATGCGAGTTGCGAGTTGCGAACTACGAACTCAGCCTCTGTGACTCAATGGCCGGTGCGTGGTTGAGACCAATGAGTCTGTTTGTGACTTTCTCCTTTTTTGTATTTGTAAAATCTACGTTACTTGCTTCGAGTATATTTTGGTAGCACATTATTGAATGTTGATGCCGATTGCCGTGTTGATTTTGTGTTTGTTGAAGCCAGAAGGTTGTTAAACTCTAAAGTTGTGGACTAGCTGGATATAGTTCTTGATGATTTTGGCCCAATTGACTGCAAAGCAAGGTTAATTGATTTCTCATTTTCCTTTTCAGTAATTTGAACATATATATCGCTATTTAATTGGAGATTATAAGTAATTTGAACATATATATTTGGGAATTGGGAGATTGTTGGAGTTATGAATCTTTTATCATAGTTTTAATTATGACTGTTAGTATGTTTATATGAATTGACTGCAAAATCATTTATGTTCTCCTCTTGGTGTTTAATCTTGTCTGCAATTGATTACTGTAAAAACAAGAAAATGGGTGTTGTACAATTGATTTGGAAATGTGTTTCTTAGGAGACTAATTAATTGCTTACTTGCAGATTGAAAATAGGGCTTATTAGGCTTGGCTTATCACAAGCTAATAATACTGGTGTGGATCCTTTGTAAGAAATGTTAAAAAATGTCAAGATTATAGATTTATAGATAGATTAATATAAAATGAAGTAGTGAATTGAACCAAGATTAATTATAGACACCTCTTAAGAAACTTCTTGATGATAATAATTTCTCCTTATATGTGTGTGTGATTTTTACATTTTAGTTTATTTACATGTAGGTTGAATATTATTTAATTAAATATCAATAAACGATTTTGCTATTATGGACGTTGATGGTTGACGGTCAACAATCAACTTCCGCCCTAGCTGGACTCGAAGCCTGGGTCCGCCCCTGGTGACACGGAGAATCTGTTTAAGAAAATGTGAGACGCAAGTGCAAAAATAATTAGAAGGACAAAACAGTCATTTTGCCCGATCTCATAATTAGACGTCCAGGGTAATACATATAGATGACATGTCAGGAGGCCACAAATTGCAGTGAATTAATTTATATTGATACTGTAATTTTTATTTAATTTAATAATTTCAGTTCTTCACCCGAAATGAAACAAGCGAAAAATAATAATTACACTGAACAAATTTTTAAATGAAGCATAAAGAATGAAGAAGGATAGAGAACGAAACATACTAGGCAGTAGGAAGAAATCTGGTTGTGAAAATGCATCAAAACAGTAATTGTGTCACAAAACGAAGAATAGAAAATTGAAGTGCTAAATTTGAAATATTAATATGTAAAATCAATTCCTCATCAACTTTACAGTATTTAGGAGGATTTTTAAAATAAAAATGCTCTATATATATATATATATATATATATTAAGAGTCGAATTTGATCTCTTAAGTACAGTGTTTAATTTATACTAAACACCATACTTAAATGACAAACAAAGTACCCACAAATGCAATATATCACCTAAGCACGGTACTTGAGAGATCATTACTCTATTAAGAGTAATAAAACTAAGTGTTAAAGATAAAAAGATTGTTGGAGTATTTTTTAAAAAAAAATTATTCTCTAAATTCATAAATGCTCTTTATCGTCCATTTGGCCCACATTATTCCACGTTATAATGAGACGAATAGTAATTTTTTTT